GCAGGAGATATTTGGCCCCATAATGAAACAAGATATTTTATCAAGAATTAGGTGAGTCCAAAGTTGTTTATTTGGGACATGGTCAGTATGTATCTACATTTTTATCTTTAAACGAAACACGAAAAAAGGAGAGTTCCTTTTTATTGTTGACTCCCATCCTGCCTCTATCTGTTTTCTGTTTAAACTTTACAAAAAGTGTTCTGAATTATTTTCGTATTTAGTTTTAAACTGCGTTCTCTTTTAAAAGAAAGAATACCCAAAAGAACAGCGGAATAGAGTTACACTGAGCCTGAAGGCATTCAGATAACACGGTGATCAGTGCGGTATTCACATTTAGACAAAGCGTAATGAATATTAATCTAAAAACTCTCTCGCACATAAACTCTTGTATAATAAGACCACAGTTTTCTAATCTTTGTAACGAGCATGCTAATCAGTATAACACACTGGCTCAATTTTGCTAAACATCCTAAAACGTGCATTTGAATGGTTTAGTCAGCTGAGAGAGTCACCAAACTATTCCTTACAATGTTACTGATTGTTTGCACGTAACATGGAGAGCTACTCTAGTTATATACATAAGGCTTCTAATTAAACTAAAAAATGTCAATGCTTCATGAGTTCTAATCATGCACAATTTAGTATTTTAAGGCATTATCTGGTATAAAACTAAGAAAGGGGACAAGACTGAAAGCTTTTACCTTCATAGTTTTGATATTATAGCATCTTTCTAGTCTTAAACTTCCATTTCTGGAAATCTGTGGCACTCTATCCTTTTAAGATTTCCCACTGAGAGTCACAGTTTTATGACTTGTTTTTCTGCTTCTAAGTTGCACTTTGATATACAGTTGGCTGGTATAGGAAACTAGGCAAGTCTGACAAAAGCCACACAATATAATATACATATACAATATACACAATATATTACATACACAATATAATTTAACAATTTTTTTTTTAATTCAAGGTCCTTTTCTTAAAGTTATAGTTAGGGTATTTAGTGATGTTCTGTAGAAATCTACATGTGATCCTATAGATATGAAAATTTTGTTCTACCAGAGCTTTTAATTGAATTGTTTGTCACAAGGATGTGACTTCCAGCATCTTCTAAACATCAGTCTCATTACCTACCGGCAAATGTATTCTTTTCTACTCACTGTCACTGGCAAGGTGCCCGTCCAATTCTCCATCTTTCTATAATGTGTACTGTAGGGATGACATAAGATATTATTTTTATTAGGTGGAGCTGGTGGAAGAAACTCGACAGCTGGACTCCGTGTACTTTAGAAAGCTCCAGGCTTTGCATCAAGAGAGTGGTTCCAAGAAGGATGAGGTAAGACAAGTACCTACTAAAAAAAACAAACTCTTTTTCTATCAGAGAGGGTTAACGCTTTGAGTATCAGCAATGAAAGACTGACTACATGCCAGTTTGGAGAAGCAACTAGCCCAATTTCTACCACTCATTGGTATGAGTGGTAGAAATGATTGACAGCCATCGTGTTAATTACAAATACAGGTCTTCTGTCAGTTACATCAACATCAGACCACTGATGGTACGATTTGAGTCAATGGGACAGTTTCCATCAAAGTCTGTGAAATGTATTTTGGGCCTGTAATCTTGCGTAAATACCTCAATTTCAAGTAAATTACAGGTATATATTGGTTTATTTGACTACGAAACCTGAACATACTGGTATGTTTAAAGCAAACAAAACTAAAGCTGATCAAGAGCTGGAGCCTTAACTCTATTTTCTCAGCAATCAAAAAGCTGTTCTACAGAGACAGAAGTTATCTAATACAAGGATTATTAGACTGAGAAAAATATAGTGATGAAAAAAGCAGTTATGCAAGCAAAATAATTTCTTCCCTCAGAATACTGTTGCTGACACTGTTCTGCCATCCTGCCCTGTTGTTCTCAAAGAAGATCAGGACTCGTGTCAAGCTCCCAAAGAATTGGCAGGTCCTAATCTGTCTGATCTGACGCATGACAAAGAGAAGTTAGAACAGCTCTGGGTTTTTCTTAACGAACATTCTGCTGGGTACGTTTCTCTGTTACTATTTTATCCATTTCTAAGTTCAGAAGAAATCTTTGCTGGGAGTCTTGGCTATCTAAATGTTCACAGATTTTAGTCATTTTAAAAAATGTGTTTGTACATTTATGAAACACACATGCACATTTTTCAGACAACTGAATTGTCTTTTAACATTTTTGGGATAAAAATTCTCCTGTCATAACATGTTTGTATTACAGTTCTGCTTTCAGTTTCTGCTTTGATTAGTGGTAAACCCCTGAGTAGAGTAATTAGTCTATAATGAGTAAAAATTTATCTTTTTGAGTATAGATTCAATTTAATACATTTTAAAAATTAAAGTTGAATGTTATAAAAATGTACAAATAGAAGACAGCCGCGTTACCCTCACAGTGTGAGAGCAACTGCAGTTTTGTGTTTACAATGATCTGAACAGAATTAAGTACCAGCTCGAAGCAGACACAGTTTATGCAGGGTTTTTGAAAAAGTGAGCCCACTTGTTTAAAAATGAAGATCTAAACAGAAGTTCTAGCAGAAGTAGATGTGAGTTTGTCACCTTATTTTATTTTTGTTGTTGTTTCCGAGCCCCACACTAATCTTTATCCTGTTTTAGCAAAAGGCAAATATACTTTTTAAGTAACTGCTAGCAAGTCCTTAAACTGTCACTTCCTTCCTTTAACCTGCTTTCCCATGAGCTGAAGCTTTGTGTATTGCCTATTATTTCTAGTCAAGCACTGCTATCATTTTAGATTCTATATTGGTCAGCTTTTTCAAAAGTGTCCAGAGATGGACATCTAGCACAGGATTCCTCTGGCCAAGACTCAATGTCCTCACTTCTGCTTATCATCATAGATTTGCTTTGTAGTCAGAGAGAAAAATATACGCTTCTGGACATAATTCTTCTAACTCTGAAGGTAACATCTAAACACAGTTTAGATGGATCATTCCTAAAGATGGCTATTTCTGCTCACTGACTACAAAAAGACTGTAGGTAACAAGTTCAGATGGAGATTCTTATGCTGTGCACCCCTAATATATGTATATTTATTTTTTTATAAATTATATACATGTGCTATTGAAGTTCTAATGTTTTCTTCCTGTCCCCCAATAAATCATCTCGATCACCTCCCTGGGATGTGCACACCCCACTTTGGAGACCACTGGTCTAGAGTTCCTCTCTAACTGGGGAAATGGTAGGAATCACCAAAGAACAGGTCACTGGCTAGGATGGGGTCCTGGATGGGTACACGGAATTGCCTCTGAGACTTCCTGCCTCTGAGACTTCCTGCCTCTCTGTAATCACAGACAAGTCCCATCTTACATGATAGAGCCAGGCAGACAATATTTAATTTATGGAGAAATTTTCCTTTGTAAAAATTCATAATGAAGAAAAACATTCGAAAAAGTTTTACAAAACAGTGTTTTAGAGCTGGGTCCAGACACAGTAACTGTGAAGTCCAGCTGGCATGCTACAATAAAGATGCCTAATGGTACTATAAGCTGAAGGGATCCTAGAACTACTGCAGTCTGGAAAATTTCAGAAAAAAACCCAACAAATGTGTCATTTGCCTCTTCATCAAAATTTGTGGCTCTGTTATTGTCCAACTGTAAGTGGTCCAAGTTTCAAGAAGGATAGGCTGCTGAGTACGTAGGTATAACTTCTGGTAAGAAACCAAAGTTCCAATAATTTGTTAAATATATAGGATACATTCACGTAAGTGCAGGACAATTTGTATTACTTTGGTTTATTGGGTTACTGCTTCTTAGTCTTGCCAGACTGACTACGCACATGCTCCAGATCCGTTGAAAGGAAAAGTAGAGTACTCCATGATTAGCCGCCACTGTAAACCGTTTAACCTAACACATTTTAAGATTATATATTTTACTTTTTAAGTAAGATGGACATATTTGATCAGTTGTCATGGGTGGATGACAAGAAGTAACTCCACAAACCACAGTAACTTGGTTGGACTTATTCACGTTTTGATGAACTAGCAAATGAAAGAATTTCAGTCTCAATAGAACTTAGGTCTGAAAGGGTCTCAAAAGACTTTTGAAAGGGGGACATCTGTTCTTAAATCAGTCGGATGCTTTTGAAAGTTTTACTTATAGAGTAATGCTTTGAAAAAGCCAGTTATTAACTGAATGAAAAAGTGAAACATATTTGTCTGAATTTAATGTTTCATATTTCCTGCTGCAAATACAGTGAATGTCCTCATTAAAATGCTCACTAAACTTCAGCTAATAAGATACTATAAGAAAAAATGCATATAAATTAAGCCCAAATTGTGGGTGTATCAATTATTCTGTCCTCTGGTTTAAAGAACAAAACCAATACATGTTGCATCAAAACAAACTCAAACTGATACTATACATGAAAGTTATTACGAACAATATATAGATCAAGAATGGCATATGGAGATTATTTGTCACTTACTATGAATAATGAAAGAAGTAATAGAATCAGTAATTTATGAAAAGGCAGCCCATAAAAAGCCCTAGAAACAAAATTTACCATAAATTTTTTTGTCTGCCTGAATGTGGACTGACTTAAGCTCTAGCACTTTACACGAGGTGGGAAGGGGGTGTTTTCTGGGGCCGACACTCCCAGCTGTCAACCCTGCTCCTTTCTCAGTCGATACGATGAGGAGGCAGAACAGGAGGTGCCGACTCGTCTCTTGGTGCCTCAGAGCCTGCAGTACTGCTTCAAACTCTCATCTGTTTCGTTTTTCATTTTCTCTGTGATCTCTGCACCATGGCTTTGGTTCATGCTGGATTTAGCAGTGGCACATTGAGGAGGTTACTCCTTTCAGGGTACCCCTGAAGGGACCCTGAATGAGACCTCTAAGATGTGTGTTTGATCTGTCTGTTCAGCAAGTGCCATGGTCTCACCAGGTGGTACCAGCAAAGAAAAAAATGACACAAAATTTCAGTCCAATCTGACCTGGTATTTAGGATTTGAACACTTTGGTAGCTTGTGGTTAAACTAATAACTCCCTAGAATGTTCATGAAATTAACTCAATATTGAAATAACATTCTGTTTAAATTTGTTTGTAGCATGGATCTCATGTGCTGGCTAGATATTGAACAGCTCAGAAAGATGCCCCACAAGGATAAAGAAAAAAGGGAGGAAAAATCTAAGGACATTAAAACCAAGTATTTAAATAAAAAATACTTCTTTGGACCCAACAGCCCAGCTACCAGAGAACAACAAGAACAGGTACCAGCTACAAAACCTTTCATAAAGCACGATCACATTGATCGTGACTGAGATAAAAGTCCATAAGCAGCTTTGCTCCAGCTTTTCCCCAAGCTATCTCCTCAAATCTTACCTATTTTTTTTGGCCAGAAATCTGGTTCTGTTCTGGTTGTGGGGCTCCCTTCTTTCCTGTTCTGGCTCTTCCTCCCCTGTCCTTACAGAACATCTCTCTTAAACCCTGATCCGAGGCCGTAGCCAGAGCATGCATAACACAGCTCAGAAAAAGTGTAAAAATGGCTTTCAGGCAGTGACTTGTTCCAGCTTTCTATTTTAGTTTGTCAGTAAAGCCACAGACAGCGAGTCTGAGCTGTGGTACTCCGATATATCTTGACACTTAGGAAATTTACTCGGTCAAGCTGGGGTATTATTTGCTGGAGTCTGTATTCTATTATAGGTAGGGACAAATGTAATCTGTTCCCTTTTATGAAAAGTACATGTGAGCCTTGGGTAAGCATGCAGTAAATGCTTTGCTTACAGTTAAGCTCATGCTTTGCTAAATCAAGGATGTAGAGAGATAAAGGACTTTTGGTATACACAAGAGTTTATGTCATGTGTTATTGTATTTGGACTGCTTAGCTAATGCATTCAGGTGGAGGATGGGGACAAATCCTTCATGACCGACTTTCGGCAACGATTCTGCTAGAAATTCAGCAATGCGTCCAGAAGAGATTAGAAAAACAATGGCTGCCATTGTTCCTGGCAGATGAACACCACAGGGCGGAAGGACAAGCAAAGGTAATTTTTTAACAACAGCAACACATCCAGGCGTTATTTTTTGTTTGGCTTCTAATTTACTATTGGGATAAAATGTTTCAGAGGAAAAGCAGCCCACAACTCACATTCAGTTTACATTGAAAGAGATGCTGTAGCATGTACAGGTTGAAGCATTTAGCTTGATATTTGTGAAGGCAGTTCCTCTGAAGGCTTAGTCTGGCTGACAGTATTATTGTTAGATCCTAAATCGGAAGGAGCTGGTGTTAGCTCTGTTGCCAGGCCGGCTGCAAGGGGAGTAAACTAATCCTTGCTGTAGTGCTGCACTCTCCATATGCCATTTTGCCCTAGCCATACACTTGCACATAGAAGAAATGCTGCTTTGTGTAAAGGATTTGCCCAAGGGGGTAAGAACACAAGCGAATGAGTGGGCTTCCCACTCCATATTCTCTCTCTCTCTCTCTCTCTCATGCTGTCCATATTCTCCCATCTGGAGCTGCAGTGCCTGTAGAAATGACTCCAGGACTTGTGAAATTCTGCTGAGTGTGAAAGTTAACTGCTACAAGCCTTGTTTCCAGTTGGTTACTTCAGAAAGTTGCCGGAAAACTGGGAATGAAGAGCCTTTCAGTCCTGCTGGCTCATTAGAAAGACTGGGGAATGGGCAGAGCTAACGTCTGCCTTTTATGAGAGTGCCTTTGTGGCTGGGATCTGTGTAGGGAGATCATCCTGCTGGTGACAGATGCAAAAAGACTTGGTTTTTTGCACTTCAACAAAAGCTCTGAAATGCAAATGTCATAGCAGAAGGAAACTTGACAGTTCCACCAAGTAGACGCATAGGCGAACTGCATTGATTGATAAAACTTGTTTTCAATGATCTTTTTAACATCAAGAAGGTTGTCAGAAGTGCATATGAACCAGATTCTTTTTACTGATTTAGAGCACTAAGCAATCTGAAAACTGTATGCTCTGATAAGGCAAATTCTGAGTCTAACAATGATTATTTTAAGCAAAATTTCCTAACCTTCTGCCCTTTTTCAGTTGAACTCTGCCTCTACAAGTCCTGGCACAATACCATGCGATAAGGCTAAGTTGCTTCCAGGTCTGGAAGCTAGCTCATGCCTCTTCTTGCACCTGCTGCATTGTGCTGGCAGGGAGAGTAGCCCATGCAGTTTGGAAAATGCTGTATTCAACTCTAATAAACAGTTTACAGGAAATACATACTTCTAATGAGCTTTTAGTCTTTTCCTAACTCCGTTTATGTCTGACTGCTCTTTTCTCTTTCTTACTGCAAATTCAGAGGATGAAAAGGTCCTTTGAAGAACGTATTTTAGAAGAAATGAAACCAGATGACATTCTCCACTTGGCTTCATATTTCACAGTGACCAAACACTGTGGGCATGCTATGTAGTCCTTTTTTCAGAAAATCTGCCCTTGATTTGAGGTGTACTTTTGCTACAAAGAAGCTGCAGGATCAAGTCTACTTCTGACACGGCTGTCCGAAAGAACTAAACACATTTCATACAAAAAAAAATTATATCCCAAAATCTGTTCGCAACAGAAGTGGTCCCTCAGAACATTATGGGTCAGGTAGAACAGCAGAAGAGCATCATTTGACTGTCATTGCCTCTTCTCTAACTCCCAGTTTTAACGAGCATGTGTTCATTTATAGCTGAACAAGGGATGGTGTTTCAGACATTAGGATCCAAAGGAAGACATATCAACTAAGACATATCACTATGTTTTCAGCCATTAGAGGGCTGAACATCAAACAACAGGATTTAAAAAGTACAGTGATAATCTTTTGTTCAACTGCAGGTAAGGGACATAACTGAAGATCTTCCACGCCCAAAACAGGAGAAGACAACTAGGATGTGGAAGGCAAGTGAAGTTTACTGTGTCTCTTGTGTCTGCAATTTCACTGTCTTTTCTAACTGGACTTTGCATATCCTTCACAATTTCCCTGCTGACAGTGTGAGGCCCAAACGTAATGCTTTCAAAAGCAGGCATGATTGTATTGGCTAGAGTGGACTGATTACTCACATTGCTGGTGAATTTAACTCCCTGCTGGATGTTCACGGTAAATTTATCTTCCTTCCTGGCTGGAGAGGTCATACTTGAAAAAAACATGTCTCTTGTCCTGGGCTTTGAGCGTGCTTAACCCTCCTCAAACTGGTATTGTACCTTTAATTCACACTTATCTGTATTTTGCATGCAGTGGACTTACTGGGACAAGCTGTTCATTCCAGCATCTGGTAGTTTATTTATTATTGCGAGTGGATTACGTGCAGACACAAAAGAGAATGTGAAGTATGCAGTGGAGTGGGCAGGTTTAATCATATCTCACAGTATCTGTTTCATTTAGAATTGTATTTTAATCTTACAGCACTGAGATAATATCAATTTTAAACATCTTAAACCTTTGTAATAATACATTTCATCAGATGTTTGCCAGTTTTTTCCTCTTGAAGAGCAGTGAACTCTTTGTGATTGCCAACATGCAAGTTGTGTACACTTATTCAGTTGAACTTTTATTGTCTGTTGAAATCAAACTGAAGACCCGGTCACCAATTATCCATGCAAACCATTAGCTCAAAAGGGATCCAAAGTGCATGTGGGTTCTGTTAACTGAGTTTTCCCTTTGCCTGTTTGTCAGGAAGATGGTTATTTTCCATGTTCTGCTTCAAGGTCGTTGACCCATAAAATAAGCAGTGTTCATATATTAGTATAGAGGTGGGAGCAATGTTTTGTTCTCCCCTTCATGAATATGGCCCAGAAATATTTTTTCCCAAAAGTTGCCTAAATCCTGGTCACAGGGTAGAACATGTTTGGAGAATTGGAGGTGGGATGAGAAGATTCCATCTTACTATCTGAATTGAGCTAACTTTATTTCAACCAAAGGACCCTTTAGTCAACCACCACCCACCCTCCCGCAAGGGCAGGCTCTCATCCGTGGCAGGCTCTGCGGCAGGACATTAAGCGTAACCCCTGTTTTTAAGAGAAGCTGCAGAAAGACTTTCAGCTTAGAATCAGGTTAGATTTCCAGGACTGTCTGCAGCAACTAAAAATGTTTCCATCCTGTGCTGACCATTGAACAGCACTCCATCCCTCCAGGACTTCAAGAGTTTTATACCGCTGTTAGAAGACAGTTTTCATTCATCCTTCTGATAACAAAGGGGGGTTGTTTGGCTTGCTCCTCAGTGACAGCACAAGAACTGTTTGTTCAGGAAGGCAGGCCAGCTTGAACTTCATTTCAAACAAACTGTCCCTGCATAAGCCATCTTTCTTTCTCCACCCTTTCTTGGCTGCCTACTGCTGTGCTTTGCAGCACGAGGATTTCCAAAATGTCTCGATGACTTTAAATTCTATTTTATTATTGGTAGCTTTATTCCACAGAAAGCAAACTCTCTGGCTTCTGTTGGTGATCATGGCAACACATTTCAAAGCTCATTTTGTTGGTGAGATCCCTGTCAGAAGCATTTTACAACTTTAAGCTATGTGGTTTGTCTGATCCTTTTTCTTTGTTGTTTGTTTGCACAAAACTCAAACTGTTCTCTAGAAAAGTAGCCTGTTGCCATAATCAATAACAATAGCTGTTTCCATGCTTTATAGTATGTAGTCATATGGTCTAAATCATTGTCAGTCATTTCCTCTCCCATCACTTCTTCCAAAATATGTTGCCTAAACCAAACTGGAGAGAAAAAAAAAGAAAAAAGAAGGAAAGAAAGACATGAAACCTTGCCACATTCTATTGTATCCATGTCATAAACTCATAAACTACTGAAAGCTAGGGTCAGTGCAAAGATAAGAATCAGACAGTTTACACTAACTAATGCCTCTGTTATTGCTTTTTGAAACAAAGCTGATTTGGTGCATTTATTTCTTCTTTTGACAGCATGTGGACAGTAAGTGGGTTTCTTCATCTAGTGAAATAATTGCTTTCCGCAAAGCGCTGTTGGATCCAGTGACAGCAAATCAGTTTCAACGCTTTGTGTCACTGAAAGGAGACCTACTGGGAAACGGAGTGCTCTTTTGGCAAGAGGTACAGAAGTATAAGGTACGGTGGTAAAATGGAGCAAGGGGAATATCATTCAATTTGTAAGCAAATGCATCCATTACTGCATATTAAGAGAACTTTATCAAGAATATCTCTAGGCGTTTTCTTGCTGACAGTAAAACCTCTTTCACTGTTTAAACTGTTTTTGCTTCCATGAAAACCCTCACCTCTTAAGGGCAGCTATTTTTAATGACTTGAATGCATTATCCCTCTATTTCTTTATGCTTCTTCAAACTGTAACATTCTTCTGAGTTCTCTGAAAGGACACTAATTAGCTAATGCCCAGGTTTTGGCAAACATCTGTTGAGCTGTAGAAAATATGCAATCATTAAAATGTTCATTCTCTCTTGATAGTTGCATACTGTTAAATAACGGGATTATTGCTGAATTTGATAATCCCTCAAAAATCAGAGAAAACTTTTAAATTCAATCAAATGTACAGATGTAAAGATAGTATCTTCCCAAAAATCTTACATGTACGATGCAGACCCCAGCTCCCATGTACTCTGTACAGTCACATTTGACTTCAGCTGAGGATGTGGCCAAGGTGAAGAGTGATGGGGAAAGTCAGTAGGGATTGTCTCTTTCCCAAATACATGCCCCTTTGTGAAATTGCTGCTGTGTGGGATGAAACACAATGGGAAAACTCTGGAGTGAGCCTTTAAATCACACTGCATCCTTCTAGTAGCACCTTGGACTGAATGCAGGGGTACCACGGATATTTCACTTGTTCCTCATTCCTTTTGCCTTTGGGATATTGCTGATGCAAAAGTGCTACCAGAGTGCAGAGCCTCTCCTGGGCTCCCGAACATAGCCTGAGTGCACATGGCAGGCAGGGAACATGAAATTAGCTAACATGCTCAGAAATTAGGAGGTAAGCACAGCTGATGCTGCGGTAGCACTTGGAGTTCCTGCTGCAGGCATGTGGATGTAGTTTAACTGTTTAATTTTACACATTCGAATTCGCGGTCCGCTTTAGAAGCTGAAGCTCCTCTGTTTCCAGAGGGCAATCTCGCCTCCTCACAGAGTCTCTGATCCCCAAGCAAGGAATCGTTGCCTGAAGTGCTCTCTGGGGCTGCTGCTCTCCCTCTCTGGGTTACAGAGTGCCTAGTTTAGACTAGAAACTTAACATGAAGGCACCTGAAGTCTCAAAATATTTCATGTTTTTTCAAATTTATGACTCTTCATTGTTATATCGTGGAGGATATGCAAACTTTCTGCAAATTAATGTAGAGTGTAGTTTAGACTATTTTCTTCATGGATTTGCTCTCTGAAGAAAGCCTTCATTGTTTTATGTCCCACCTCCTCTCCTTCATTTATGTTAATTTTATTTGTCTTCTTATCAAGAGAAAGTACAATCTGACCATATTTCTGCACAAATGCTATTTGTCATTGTTGGCAGTTGATGCTCTTTATAGAAGCAAAAGGCTGGAGTAGCAGGAGTGTTGTGGGTCAGGCTGAACTGGAGGAATATTGCCAAAGACGTGGGCAGCACTCTGCACAGTGCATACTTGCATTGTCTGAGCCCTATCACGCCATCAGTTTAGACAGAACTCCCTTTAGGAGTCAATGACTGCATTGCTCCTCGTAACCCATCAGGCTGGCGGCACATCTTGGGACAATCAAAAAACAAATTTTTTTTAACAAATGTGAAGAAATATAACTCTGTGGATCATTTCCAGCTGTTCCTCTATGCTCATGTCTCATCCCTCTTCATATCATATGGCTTATTTGTCTTCCCTCTTACTACAGCTCTCTGCCTTTGCTCTACATGAGCAAAAGAAACCATAATATGTTCTTAGCATATATTTAATATGTTTTTGTATTGCCTTATTTTCTTCATTGTAGCCGTTATCAGTCTTTTTTTCCTTCACAAAACTAAAAAGAATTCATAATAAAACAAGCCAGCTCTTTCCCATACCACATTTCTGGTTAAAAGTCCTGGTTTTAATTTCTTTGCAAAGTAAATATCCAGCCTCCTATACCAAAACTAAATGCACATTCTTCATTTAAAGAACTCTCTTCCTGAAAAGCCTCTAGTGTGCTCATTGTGTCTTTAGTAGATATACGTGATAATCTCCTAGTGTTATAGAAATTTCTTGATGTTTATGAATAGACGGAAAATTTGTGTTTCAAAGTGTTTGAAGGAAGTTCTTTGAATTATTTTTCCTTCCTGTCAGAGTCCAACGGTACCATTGTCAGAGTGTGAAAACACAGTAATAACAGGTTTTACAAGAACAATAGGATCACATTAATAAAAAAAAGTAGAAAACATCTAGTGTTTCTTTGAGATCTCACCCTTTTAAGTTCAGGTTTATTTTGTATTCTTTTCTGCGCGGTTATTTCAAACACTGAGGTTTGGGAAATGAGAAAATCTTAATGAAGGGGGAACTAGAAGATTTCAACAAATGGAAGATTGTACTGGTAGCTGAAGTTGTCCCCCCTCTTGTGCCAACATCCCTGCTTATAATACCTTGTAACCTCTAAATAAATTCCCCTCTTTTCTTGGAGTATTTAGTGCATTTCTTTGTCTTTTAGCCACCATGGCTATGCTAGCCATAGCAGGCTCATTGTGAAAATTAGTGCATTTCACACCTGTAGGTGTGTTTCTTGTTTCAGAAATGCCTCCTATTTGCCAGTAACGCACTTAGACTGAATGCAGGATAAAAACTATCTGGTTCCATCAGAATGTGCAGGGCAGAGATTATCGCCTAAAAGCAATGAGTGCTATACATCTGCATTTGCAAACCAGAAGTCCCACTCATGTCTTAACTATGTCTTTGACCATGCACATTTGCTATAAGAATGTTGTCCTACATGCTGAAGAAATCTATTGTATAATTATTTTTGCATGACTATTACTCTTTGATCAGCGGACCCCTGTAAAGTGTCTTGCGTCTCTCTCTCTCCATTGACTGAAAATGCTATTTTCCATCTTTCAGGACTTGTGCCATTCTCATTGTAACGATGCCACAGTCCAGAAAAAGATCACAGCTATCATTGACTGCTTTATTAATTCCGCCGTACCCCCAGCTTTGCAGATTGACATCCCAATGGAACAAGCAAAGAAGATTCTGGAACACAGGAAAGAACTAGGACCTTACATTTTTAGAGAAGCACAGGTAAGAAGCTGGGAGAATCTCTGTAATAGGTCTGACTAGAGTCTGTGTGCCTGATTTTAACGATAGTCTTTATTGCTTATGTGACAATTTGGTCTCCATGCATGAGCCTGGGCATGAGGGAGAACGCTATAGTCATGCATTTCAATGGAGATTGTATGGTGGAGATGACAGAGAAGTTTCAGATATTTACTGCTCAATAAACTGGTCAAACTCTGCTAGCTGATCCTGGAAAGGTGTTACCAGGTCTGTATTAGGAATTCTGGCAGTAGAAATTAATTCTGTCTGCTTTTAATTGCTTGTTCTTTACCACTTGGTTAATGCCAGAGAAGCAATTTGTAGTTAGAAAGCATGTCGGTTTTGTAGTTTATGAAAAAAAATGCAGATGCGAGTAAAGCACAAAGACAGTCTTTCCCTTCTTTACTACAGGCTGTAGGCAATTTTGTATCCGATCTTTGTACAAATCAGACTGAACAGCAATTTGTGAACCTTTACTGCAGACTTAATATTTTCTTATTCCTTGTTACTGTTTTCTCTGACTTATCTTCTAAACCCAAGAAAGCTAGTTCCTCTTCTTTTCCTATAAAATTGTCACCAACACCTTTAAACATCAACTGAGTCCATAAAGTGTTTGGATCACAAAAGATGAATGATTTGTCAGAGAAAAGGGTCCACATAGGTCCTAAAAGAAATAAGAAGTCTCATTTCAGCCTGTGTAAAACCCAGTGAACTCCAGAAATGTGGCACAAAACCAAGGGAAGAACGTGGTCAAAAAGCTGTGACTGGAACATGACAGTGACTCACATGTCACTTTCAAGTCTGTTGAGCCAGAAGTGGAGAGGTGCTGAGCATGCTCAGCTCCTTTTAAGCCACGTTTCTCAATGAGAATTAAACATCTAAACAAATTGAAAAATGTGAGCCTCAGTACGTGCAGCAACAGAATTCACTGAGCCCCTCTGTTTGCTTTTTTAAAATTGTTTTTTCTTATTCTAGTTCAAAAAAGACCCTGTGAGAGATTATATCATTTAAAAATTATCCAAGATTTGCTCATAGATCTGTAATGTGGTTTAAGAGCCTTTCCAGAGGCAAAAAAAGTATTTCCTTTCTCTTAAGGAGGGAAAAACCCCCTTCTCCCTAATGAACTGAATATTTGAAATACTTGAGCAGAACAGTGGTGCAAAAGCAATTCTACTGGTGTATATTTTATCAGGAATACTTGTAAAAAATGATGGATGTTTTCATTAATGCAAACAATTGTTTAGGGAAATATAAAAAAAGAAAGTGCCTTTTAACTGTGTTTTAGGAAGATTTCTCACCAGTAATAAACACACTGATGAAAAGCATGTGCAGAGCAAAGCTGGCCTGAAATGTCAGGACACAGTACGTGGGAGGAACAAGGCTGTGTATTCAAAAACAAATAGTTATTTCATTCTCATGGTAAACTACATTTTATTTTAGAGTAAACTCTGTTTTCTTAATATGGTCAAGATTGACTGTCTTTTCTTTCTGTGCAGATGACTATTTTTGCTCTTCTGTTTAAATTTTGGCCAAAATTTTGTAAGTTTCGAAGCAATTTGCCTAGTGACAAAATTCTACTTGCCTTGGAGAGAAAAAAGGGAAAAAAGACACAAAAGAAGGAGGGCAAGACAGCAGAGGTAAGGCTCACAGTTTCAGGTGACAGCTGACGAACTGCATAAAACCTCCTTTATGAGCAAACATACGTGAATTCAAATATCCCTTTCTCAGCCTGATCCAAAGCTACCGAAATCTTTTTGTTAGAATTCAAGCTCTACATGCGACCCAGTACTAGGGCTATTAGTTCCCAATCTTGGCGATGCATATACATATGTTTAACTTGAAGCAGATGAGTCAATGGAATACTCCTTTCATTAAGCAGAGAGGGAAATGTATTTTAGTCATCTTTTGTGCCAAGACAAGAGCAAAAAAAGAGGGCTATTTTTTTAAAATCTATATAAATAATTTAGATCTATTTAAATCTACCATCCATGTGTACAATGGATAACTGCAGACCTGTTTGCACTTTCAGTATGTACTATCCTATTTTAGAACTTACAGTCCTGAGTCACTACTGAAAGCAAAACCAAACCAAACCAGATTTCATATCTATTTTCCAGAAGGAGCATTTGAAAAGTCTGCACATTAATTTTAAAATTATTTATGTGTGAATTGCTTTGTATAGTCTTTGTCTTTTCTTGACTATTTCTCAGCTTTGACAGTGAAATTGTTAGACTGTTCACAATGAGTTTCCAGACAGTTTCAGTACATTAGCAGGACTGTGACCTCTACAGCGGAATGCTTGCTTGTAAAATTGTTTTTCTTGGAATTTTATTATTAAAATACAATGGATTTTTTTTCCTGTTGATTATAGGCTTTGCAAAAGTTTATTTTTTATGAAATGTAATTGTTTGGCCAGCTTTGAGGACAGAACATTCCTTTAAGGACAGTGAAATTATTGGAATTGCAAACTATCAGAAGTAGCATTAAAAGACCTTTACATATTTTAAACACTACGTACACATGTGTTGAGATATTACGATGAGAACCACATGAGCACCTGGACAGATAAAGGCATACATGCCTGTAAGAACATGTACACATTGATATCCTCTTTCAGACACATGAAAACTGAGGACCAGTGAAGCGTTATTCAAGGCTGCACACCAATGTCAAGTGAAGTCTAAAATCCAGGAACTCATGTTGCTTTCTCCAAAGCACGTTGCCTCCATACAGATATGTCTGGCAAGGCCACTGGCAATACTTACAGTGCAAGAATGCAATATTTCAAAGTAATGCACTTTTGCGTTTTCACAGACTTATTTTTTCCATCTGTTTGTTGCCCATCTATAAGATTTCTGATTAAGATCAAGGAAGTACAGAGCAACTCTTGGCCAGGAGGGCAAAAGTCTAGCTTTTATGGGGAACAAATGGGAAAGGTGAATTACCCTTCTAAGCTGGGAAATACGGTAGGAAATTTTAGAAAGTGACAGGCAGAGAAGGCAGTTCAGTAAACAGTTTGCAGACTATTCTCACAAAAAAAGTCAGTAAACCAGTTACCTTTTAAAATCTCTTGAAATAATAGGTGGAACAGATACATTTTTGAAACCTTTTCCCCCTCTATTATTGTTTCAAGAATTTGCTGTTACACATTCTCTTGCCTGAGATTTCTGTCCCCTTAACGACAACGTAACTATTCAAATGATTCAATATCCCTGAAGGATACTGATAAGGTTCATCCAATGTAAGCAATAGCAGGTTCACTTGGCAGCTTGTAGAAGGTGATGATTTCTTGGCATTTAAAACAATATCCATGCTCCTCTGCCCCACCAGGCTCATGCTGAAGAAGAGCATGAGCTCTGCCAAGGGTTAGAAATAACATTTTTTTCCTTATATATATATTCCCTCTTCTCCAAATCAGTTGCCATTTTGGATTTATGTCAAATGGAACAATCATGATCCTGGGAGAGGAATTTCACTTTCTCTCTTCTCACAAATTTGTCCCTGGGGTGCCCAATCTACCTGGGCTCACCTCTCTTTCTGAACCAACTGGATAAGAGTTGGACTTTTATGTAGTATAATGGAAAAATGGGGAGACAAGGAGTCTTTCACTGGACAATGATGTACGACTTGGTAATATTTGACTATCTCAATTTTTTGTGTGTGTGCCTATTGGTTATTTATGGGGCAAATCCTATTGAAGTCTTCCTGGCTGTGGATTCAGTTCAGGGGAGGACTGGCTGACAACGAGGGACTCCATGAAAACTCTGTACAACGCACAGACCTCTTTTAAGCTTAGTGTTGTCTGGAAGGCAAGGGAAGGGTAGGTACAAGGTCAAGTAAGCTCAAACATTCAGCATAATGTGACTGTTTCAGTATTGAGCTGAAATAGTGGTTTTAAAAGATACTGCCTTGGGAGAGTACAGTTTGCTTCTCAGTTTTCACATATTTGCCCTTAGTGTGGCACAGCTATATAGGCTCATCTTTGGCTCATCTGTGGGTCTGTTCATTTGTTAACTGCTAGATGCACCTACTACCTACTTTAAAAAATATCATTAGTCATTTTTTGCAGACTGCTTTGATATCACTATTTGTAATTTGTTGCATACACAATCGCATTCTGCCTCCAAAATCAATTTTGGATTTTTAGCTTTCCAGACTACAAAATAGTTTTAACTTACACTGTAAATCTGTACTTACTCTATCCACGCCTTAAGCAGAGAAAGGTAAAACCATAAGCATCAATTTTCCTTTTCCATGTTTCCCTCACCTCTCTTTAAGGTTCTTAGCAGTAAGCTTATTTATTAGTAAGTCATGTAATGTCATGGGATATGACATTGCCATAACATCGCCTAATTCATTATGAGAAGACCTCATTTAATTCACCATTCTCATTGAGAAAGCTATCAAACATAAACTGTAGCATATTAGTATACATACTGTTTCTGTATTTGCTTTGGCACCCCTGTTCCATCAATTGAGAGTGCCACGGGAGTTAGTAAGCATTCTAGAGAGAAGACAAACACCACGCTGCCTGGGCAATTCTATACCCAGAAGTCACCCTTATAGTTGATGGGTCCATAGAGCAGTGGGGATGATGAGGACGAAAAGGCACCTTGGGAGAAAGGAAGTAGGATAATCTGATCCTTTTCACATCTTCCTGAGTGACTCTGGGAAAGCATTTGACTTCTCTCTTTTTTCCACAATTTCTCATTTGCAACATAGGAGGGTAATATTACTTGCCTAATGGGGATATCGTGGGGTTAGTTATGTGAGGTTAAATATAAACATTAATTACTGTCCATAGTTTTGGGATCAATAAACAGAATGTGCAAAGGCACAGCCTTAGTAAAACACTAAAACAACATGAAAATGACAAATAGCTAATCACCAGAGCAGTTTACCAAGGGTTACAATGCCTCGTCCTTCACTGTAAATGTTTTAAATGAGGATGCCTGTTTTCCTATGTATGCTGTAGTTCATTCACAGCTACTGGACCAAGCTGGAATTAATAATTAGAAATCCTATGTTCTACACTTATACCTGAGGCAAAATTAGAGGATCACAATGGCCTCTCTGTCCTTAAAATATGTTCTGTTGCAGATCTGCCCTTTCACTTAGCTGCATTTTGGAGCAGGTATTCCATCTGAAAGGAAGACAGTCGGCAGGAGTGTAGAGGTCAGGAAACTTCGATTGAGACAAAGAAATGTGCTAAAAAAGCAGCATATTTTGCTAGTTTTTATTATGCCCAACATGATGAATTATGAAACTAGGCATTACAAAACATTACTGCATATGACACTGTCTCATTTCCAACGACAACTTTCGCTTCCTCAGACTTTGCTTTTTACTTTAGCTCAGTAACTATTGTTTACATCTAATTATGACTTCTTATTATTGGCAGGGTAAAGAAGCAGGGAAAAAACTCATCAGTCTGTCAAGCAGTGCTTTGGTAGATGAGATTGGTGTGGAGAGAGGACCAGCATCATTTTCAGATGGATATGGGTGGCAGGTGAATAATAAACATGTTGCTATAGATATCATCATTCAAGAGAGAAAAAATGATCTTAAGAGAATGAGAAGGTGAAGTTTGGTTTTGAATTACTGCTGTCACATGGTTCTTCAATAACTGTTCATTCTTCTACAATTAACTTCACTGTTATAAGTTTACCTACCTTACAGGTGATGCTTTTTTCTTATTATTTTCTTTAAGATTTAAGTTCTGAGTAGTATTAACATCTAACAACATATTAAGCCCTTTAGGTGTATAGATTTAAAAAGAATCTTTATTTGAAGATAAATTGAAGAAAAGGAAGTTCTGGAATAAGAACTTCATGGAATAAGTATTGCATTACTTGTGAAATTCATACCCTGAAATAATTTGGTTGGGGCTTGCGTCCTGTTCTGCTCATATGTCAAAAACGGAAGCTGAACTCATTTAGGAACTCTAGGTATTCGGATAGAAACCCTGACAGAAAACAGACTTTTAGTACTTCTTCCAGAACAACTCTCATGATGCATCAAAACTGTCCTGAAAAGGTAACAGTCATTTTATTGCAGAAACAAGAAGAATAGACATGCCACCTCGGGCATATCAAGGGATCACTCATAGCTGAATTGACACTTCCAGAACATAACAGGGGATCTGTGCAACCACATAATCACAGCTCTGTCATGTGAAGCAGGAGTAAATCACACTCTGGCCACTTCTTACATTCCATAGAGATCTTCCTGTGGCATTACATTAGCGATGAGTAGAATATAGAAATAGGCAGTCTGAAATACCCTCAAAATATGAAGCCACAGTGCAAACTCTCATCCTTAAACAGACCTGTTAACCTTTGCTCATACCTATTTAAAAAAAAAAAGTGAGTTGGGTGAGCTGGTTATCTGTTGCTCACCAGCCTGGGCTGCGGCACCAAGGACGCTGTTGCATCCTCCGCAGGCAGGAGGAAATGGCCTGCCTCTTGTAGGCAGGATAGGTACCTTGAGTTGAGTAGTTAATTAGTTCATTATCTTCAACTCAGTGCAGCTGGGTAAAAATGATTGGTGCCATAATTCCCCCTTTTTGTTTTACCATTTTTTCTGTTTTCACAAAGGCTTTAAGGGTGAGCAGAGACCCGGCCCATTCATCCAACTCCAGCACGCTTCCCTCCCACGAATACCACATCGGGGCTTGCAGCTTTACCTTCTTCTCCAAAGGACTCTCGCTCGAGCTCCCGGCTCCGGCTCTTTTGGCTCGGGCTCTTGGCTCAGCGAGGGAGTCGGGGCTTCCCAGGGTCTCACAGATGTATCACGTCGGGGTCACCAGTTGTTGCTCACCAGCCTGGACTGCAGCACCAGGGACGCTGCTGCATCCTCCACAGCCAGGAGGAAATGGCCTGCCTCTTGTAGGCAGGATAGGTATCTTGAGTTGAGTAGTTAATTAGTTCATTATCTCAACTCAGTCCAGCTGGATAAGAATGATTGGTGCCATAGTTATCAATATCATATGCCTTAAGAGGCAGGTAATTGCAGAAAGAGCAATAATCTTGCATAGAGCAGTTTCTTCTCCAAACCCCTTTGTGCTATATTGACAGAACAGAATTTCTTCTTACTGAGTCATGAAATGACCAGTTGGCCCCAATTTTTTCAGACTGTAAGGAAAAACAAAAAAGGCCAAATAAAAGTACAGTTCTTATACTGATTTGGGAGAGTGACCTAAATTTACATCAAACCTGAACTGCGGTTGTTGCAACGTAAAGAGCAACATTTTTCCCTTAGAAAAGGAAAGGATGACATCTCCAGTTGATCTGCCTCTAGTGGCAGCAGCATTCTGCTGGAGAGGGCGGGCAGAAAGAACTCTTAGGCTAATGAGTCCTTCAATGATTTGAGAAAGGATGGACTGGAAGGATGTGGCAGGGAGATAAAATTAAGTCCTTAATAGCACAAAAAGCTGACATTTTGGAAGGGGAAAAGTCTACTTTATTTAGGTTTTAAAGATAAAAGGAGAGAGAATAGGACTCAGGTCAGGGATGGAGAATAAACGAACGTAAACATATCTGTCAAACTTGCTTACATTGCATTTCATGGTGTTTTGAGGTCACCTATTTGCAGCAATACTATTTTTGCCACGATTCCAGTATTGTCATGACAAAACTCCTCCTCTTAATAACTGTGATTATTCAATAATAGGGATACAACATAAAAAAGTTTTTTGTCTCACTATTGAAATGGACAAGGAACTACTAGTGACATAGTCAGGAGGCTGATGTTTTTTAACGGTTCTTGCAGGTTTCCTGGTCCTATTCCAAATACATAGAAGCCTTGGAGCAGGAGAGAATACTCCTTAAAAAGCAAGAAAATCTGGAGAAAAAATCATCATCATTCCTTTCAGGTTGTTGACCAAGCTCTGTAGCTTAGGAGAATAAGCTTCTAGTTTAGGTGAAATTCTCTTATTATAAGGACTTTGTTTGCTCTCCTTTCAAGCTGCATACATAAACCACTGCCTCTCTTACACTGTCTGCAGAGGAGTTGCTCTCTGCACTATACTTGTGACTGATAAGTTTTCTAAGAAAGGGAAAGTGAAAGTTGCAGGGTATCAGCATTGTCTTTACTGTACAAGTCCTGCTGCAGAGAGGAATATGGCTATTTCTTCATTCTACACAGTGGCATAGCAATCCTATTTGGTTCATATATACATTTCACCTACCTGGCTTCTTGTGCTTCATCAACTTACACACAACGAGAGAGGTGAATCTTTTTTCTCACCAGTTTGTCAGTATGCTTTCGGGGGATGTAAGAGGCATTGCCTCATCCTTGTGCCAGCTGGGTATATCCTGGGATATTACGACCTGTCTGTTCATTAAATAACTCACTCCATTTAGCAGTAGGGCTAGCAATAGCATTATGTGATGTTAAAACCATTCAGTTTCCCATCATTTTTGTTTTCTTCCCATATACAGGTGCTTCACCTATGTCCTTCCTGAAGCCTGGAAACTCTGAAAAATCCACCGTTTCTCCAAAGAGAAGTGTGATTTTGGAGAAACACTCAAATCTTCCCAAGAAACAGAAAGTGAGTACCAGACTGTCAACAAGTGTGCTTTGAAATTTGGATTCTTAAAAGCTAGTTTTCCTTCTGTCAGTGCTGATGCTCACTAGTAGCAAGTTATCCCACTCCAAATCACATTTAACTGAAGCTGTACAGCCTCAACATGAAGGCAAGATTATTTTTCACTCCAACCATGGTTAGTGGACCTAATGTTGACCAGATGGAATTTTGTTGCAAAACAGTAGTCTCTGCAATGCAATTATCTAAGCTTTCCAGTTAAAATATTTTGAATAGGAGCATGAGATGACTGGAGCAATCTCAGATCCCATGGAGCTACTGGCAAAGGCCTGACACAGAACTAGCAATAGATCATTTTTGCCGAAACCAATTACACATTAGAATGGGAGAAAGAAGTGGGACAGCAAAGAGATTTGCTAAAGACAGAAAAGCCAGTTTTGCTTCAAAGCTTGAATTCCTAGATGGAAGAGTCCCCTGGAGGTTTTGGTTTGGTTTTTTTAAGCCTATGCTGAAATTTGAGGGACTTAAAAAATTTAAGAGAACTTGAACTATTGCTCCTCTTCCTTCTCTGCTCCTCCTTCCTCTTCTAATTCTGTACTTCAACACTGCTATTTTAGGCAAGCTGATGTCCTGCCCTCACCAGTCCTCCTCCTAAACACACTCTCCTTGTGGCAGCGTTTTATGCATGGGGCTTCTGAGAAAACTGCAGCATTCCTTGGTCTTCCTTCTTGTTCTCTTTCTGCCCTCTTATGACCTCCTAGTTGCAGTTAAAGTCACCCAGTCACCTTGGACGGTGTGCACCTCTGCAGGGGTTACTGTATTTCATACATTTATGCATTTTGTACTGCAGCTCTGCTTCACACGTGGCTGTGTCACCGTGAGGAGTCCTTGTGAAGGGGCTTCAGTTCTGCTCTGTAGCTAAGAAACTTCCAGCTGGGCCCAGTGCTCAAAGAGGGACTACAAGGTGGCTGCAGTCCTTGCTGCAGATCCGCCTGGCAGTCTCTGGCCCAGCCCGTCATTCACAACCTGAGAGCTGCATTCCTACCAGGCATCAGGCTGTGGTGGTATGGGCTAATGCAATGAGAAAGTAGAGATCTTGAGTGGTCTGAGAGGTCTCTCCCACCAGCTTCAGCTGTAGCCTGCTCTCCACTACCACTGGAAACTTGCCTGCCCTGCCCCTTCCCTCCCAATAGCCCAAGTGTTCCCACTGCCTTTGAGTGGCTTCCTCTTCTTCCATCGTGACCCTCTGGTGGTTCTCCTCAACCACGCCCTCTGTGGTGATCTGATCATTCTGCTGGTGGGGTGAGACACCTACAGAAGACCACCGCTGCTCTTGTTGGGCAGCTTCTCTCCATTTTGTTGCAGAGGATGTCACGCCTTGTGCAGTGGGTGTAAATGGCAAGGCGCTGGCAGTGGCGGGGCTGTAGGGGTGCCTCTGTCAGGAGAGCCTGGGGCTTCCTCATGCTGGACGCAGCCGATTCCAGCTAGCTCCAATGGACCCATCACAGGGCACGGCTGAGCCCATCAGCTGAGATGGTGGCATCTCAGGGAAACACAAGAAAGTGTAAAGAAAGATGGAGAAAGGAGGAGGAGGAGGAGGGAATTAAAAGAGTGAAAAAACTACAGAGGGAACACCAAGGCCAGAGGAGGAGGAGATGGTGGAGGAGGTTGAGGAGGTGCTCTGCAGTGGAGTAGATACTCCCTACAGCCTGTGGATGACCCATGCTGCAGCAAAGGAGAAGGGTGAGAAGGAAGAAAGGGCTGTCCATTGTCTCACTGAAGGGACTGAGTGTAACCTGTGGCAATAACAAGGTGGGGAGGAGAGGTGCTTGGAGTGAACTTGAACTGGGAAACATGGAGGAAGTGTTTTCTCTTAGAGTGTACATGTTCTTTTCTTCTTTTTCTTGGTTTTGTTTCTCACTACCCGAATCAGTAATGGTTTACTCTAATCAGCAATAAATTAATTTCCCCAATTTGAGTATGTTTTGCCTGCAGCAGCAATTGGTAAGCAATCTCTCTGTCTTTATCTTGACAAGCTTTCTCTTTCCTGTTTTAACTCTTTTCTCCTCTTGTCCTGCTAGGCGGACGGGAGTGAGTGAGTAAGAGGCTGGTGGGAGACTGGCTGCTAGTGAGAGCCAGCCCAACTACACCTTGTTTCTCTCTCTTTTTGATGCATTTTTTTAAGAACTGTTCTGACTATTTCAACTGGCTGCAACACAGCAATGACATTCTGTTACCTTTTGCAGGCAGATTAAAATCTCTCTGAGGAAAGGAATGCAGACACATTTAATGGAGGTGGGCAGGAGACACAAAAATAATCTGCATGCAAGGTTCGTCTTTACATTTCCAGAGAAAAGATAAGGACTTGGAATGTTATTAAGAATCATGGGACATTAGTCAAGGGCAGAAAATAAACACCTTCCAATGTGTTCCATATCACCATGATTGTGATACTGACTCTTGTGTTACTCATTTGTTTAACAGTACACCTTGAGGCTCAAATCGGAGTAAGATTCCACGGAAGTACATGGTACAAACAACTAGGTGGTCTTATAAAGATCTTATAATCAAACCCAGTTCCTCAGTGCCTGTTCTAATGGATAAGTAAAACGCTGCATTGAACTGACAGCCCTGAAGCAGTGTGTCTTGGCACACTATGCTCTCAGTACTGCAACTCACGCAACTTCTATTCATCAAGGATAACTCATGAGGTGTCTGAGAATCATAAAATCAAACCCTGTTGTGGTTTGCTTCGAATCCTGTCTGATTCCCGGTCCAAAGTACACCTTCGGCCTCATTTCTGAGTTTTGATCTGCAAGAAAGGCTTAAAACACATCAGGACATGGATGTGATTGAGAACTTTTGTAAAACGTCATTCTTCCCACGGCATTACTCACCGGAAGGTTGCAGAAGCTCATAGCTCTTGTGTAGCTCTCCCTACTTTTTTGCTTCTTTTTATAATTTTAACAGTTCTAAAAAGAGTTGGGACAGAGTTGATGTTGGGACTAGGGCCAAAGGATTAATGGGCGAGTTAAGAGGGGGCAGGGGCAGAATTAACTGCTAGGCAGGGGACACGATGATCATAGACCTCTCCACATTTTTCAGACCACTTTAAACACCAGTCCCCAGCCACAAAGTTGTTGGCTCCATTCTTCTCTACATGTGTGTAACGCATGTAAGAGGAAGGCAGATCAGCAAGCTCCAGCTTGCTGAGTTCCTGAGGACTGCCCCTGAGTTAGAGATGAGATTGCCTTCCACTATGCCTCCCAACCTCTTGGACAAAGAGAACAAGACATGCAGCCCTGTCTTAGTCATCAGAAGTAAAGGTTCTTCACTTGAAGCTCTTAGATCGTACTGCTAAGGGCCATCCATGAGTGCTTTCCTCATTAGTGTGGGGTGGCAGCTAAGGACAACTAATAATAGTCTTTTTCTTTTTCACTCTTGATGCAATGACCAAGATTTTCATCAGGAGTTGCTTCAGATAGGCCAGCAGGGAAGAAAGATAGATATGGATATGGATATAGCTGCCCTGCTCATATATCCTTGAAGGAGCAAGGGAAATCATTGGTTCAGTTCCTACTTTCCCCACAGTTCAGAGACAGTTTGCTTCATGCTTATCTCTGTTTCTTCTGTGTTTGAGTTGTTTGCTTGTGTGACATTACCTGAGAAACATGTCTTGGGTGGAAGCCACAAGGGAACAAACCAGAAAATTCTTGTCCCTATTTTTCATGTTTTCCCAAATTTCACAGATGCAGTAAACTTTAATGCTCAGTACATCTGAGGAGGGTGGAACGTAGCATCTTGTATTGAGTGGAGCACATGTGGCACTGTGTGGCCTACCACTCATTTATGTGAAAGGCAAAGAAGAATCACGAAATGCCATAAATGCAGTGATGTATGTCAGTCTAAATGAAATGTAAAAGGCCACCTTCTACTGCTGTGGCCAGTACAGTGCACGAAACCAAATGCTGGAGTGCGGCAGTCGGTTTCTGTCTTGTTGTATTCTTGCCTTCATGGCATCTCGAGACAGTTAAATAACATGTAGACAATGCTTATCTTATGCTGGTAGCTTAGTCTTGAATCATACTTGGATTACTTCTAAAATGAAAAATATTATCCAAGTATTTGTCACAGATGATAAAACTCCTTGTGAATATGTTCCAGCCTTGCCAAATTGTTAAAGAAAATTTACCAGCCCCTACGCAAAAACTACTTCCCAGACAGTTACTATGATTAATACCATACACGTCTATCAAACTTAAAACCAAAGTACTTTGTGTACTTTGATGAGTAACTAGAATTTTGCAAACTGGCTCTATCCACTCAAAGTTCTGCAAACCAATGAAAACCCTCAATCCAGTTTGCAGTTCTGTCTCCATGTTAACTGAAATCTATATGCATATATGTATGTGTGTATATACACACTCATGCACAGTCATTTATAGGCCATGTCTTTAGCATGCAGCTGAAGAGGATCACATGTATGAGTAATGCTAGAAATATGTGTCATACCATTATGCCCATTTTATGTGTTAATTTTAAAGAAATATTGAGCAATTGGACAGGGAATATATTAAGAGACAGAGACCCTTTCATTTCTGGGTTACTAAATCTAACCTGATGCTATGGCAGATACCCTATAACTGCTCTTTGATGATAGATCTGAAATGGAACAGTGGGTTTAGTCTCGTCCCGAGGGACCGAGTAACTGCCAGTTCCAGCAGAAAGCCTGAAAACCGAACAGGTACAGAGACTAAATGTTATTGTTCTAAATGATGATTCTATATCACTTCAGAAAGCCTGCACTGCTATTGCCTTTGTCTTGTTCTTGAGATCTCTCTCAGGCTGCTGATCTACCACCTGTGAGAGACCAGGAGTTTTAAAGGGCTGGAAAAGTTTTACTCAACAACCCTAGCACCTCTTCCTTTAGATAACTGAAACTTTATTCCTTTTTCTATTTTAACTACGTATACCTTGGGACTTTCAGAAGTCTACAGCAGAAGAAC